CACTAACATCACTCCTTTGTAACAACTAAGGCAAAAATGGACGTGTCTTTAGGTTCTGGATGTAAAAACAATGAAGTCTCACTCCTGTTTATCTGAAAAGTGATACAAAGATCGTCTATTTACATAAGGACTCACTCAGAGATAAACAGCAGACATTTTAAAAAGTAAAAAAACTTGTAGCTTTTTCTTTTCTTGTCTGAAATAAAGTTGTAAAAATGCAGTAACACCAAGCAGCTGAAACTTCACTTTATACTTGAAGTGATCCAGTGTTTAATACAACTATTGGAAATCCAAGAGTTTAACCATCAAAAACCAAATTTAAATCATTTTCAGATCTTAACTTCATGTTAAATACTTTTATTTTAATATTTGACATCTGATCTGGTTCAGATTAAACACCAGGGTGATTTTTGCAAACTGTTTCTGCTCCAGTTTAGCCAATTCAGGGTTTTAGATAACTACATATGACTTTATGCTAACTAAATTTACCAGAAATTAAAATTCTCAATGAAACATTCAGATGCTGAGCCTCAGAAACTTAATGTCTGTCAAATGAGGGAAAAAAAACTTTTATTTAAGTTTCAAACAAAACATGCACTCTAAAAATGAAATGTTGGATTTACTTAACCATGTTATGTGACCTGGTTCCACTTAACTGAGTTGAGTAAATTCAAAGCAACATACTCATGTTCTTTGGTTAAAAAACTGGTATATTGCTTTGAATTTACTCAACTGTGTGGAACCAGTTAAGTGTGGAACTGGTTAAATGGAACCAGGTTACATAACATGGTTAAGTAAATCCAACATTTCATTTTTTACAGTGTGGGTACAGGATGGAACACAACATTACTTAAAACAGGCTGAAAGAACAGAAGTAAAAATGACATTTTAATGACCTTTTAAAGCGGTCACATTTGAACAATTTGAACCAGGCTGGAGGAGGTGAACAGAAACAAACCAAAACAACAACAAAGCAACACCTCCTAAAAAAAAAACACCTCGTCAGTACTCCTCTCCCTCCTCCTCCTCCACAGTGTCGCTCCCCACCTCCTCGTAGTCCTTCTCCAGTGCAGCCATGTCCTCCCGGGCCTCAGAGAACTCGCCCTCCTCCATGCCCTCTCCTACGTACCAGTGGACGAAGGCCCTCTTGGCGTACATCAGGTCAAACTTGTGGTCCAGACGGGCCCAGGCCTCTGCGATGGCCGTGGTGTTGCTCAGCATGCACACGGCCCTCTGGACCTTGGCCAGGTCTCCACCGGGGACCACGGTGGGGGGCTGGTAGTTGATGCCCACCTTGAAGCCAGTGGGACACCAGTCCACAAACTGGATGGAGCGTTTGGTCTTGATGCTGGCGATGGCGGCGTTGACGTCTTTNGCAGCTAAAAAGTTAGCGCAAACTAGCTAAATGCTAGCTAATAGTTAAAAGTAGGAWGAAGCTAGCTAAAAGTATTAGAATGGTAGTTAAATGAAGCATAAGGTCATACAATGAGTAGTAAAGCTAAATAAGCAGCACAAAGCTAGCAAAAACCATGTAAAGTAGCAACAGACTGGCTAGCTAGAAGGAACAGAAGCTAAAAGTCGGCTAAAATATTAGAATGGTAGCTGTGTAGCATATAGCCAGCTAAAAGTAGTAAAAGTAGCAAAAAGATAATTAAATTAGCGAAAACAATCATAATTTAAAAATACTACCTGCTTATATAATCAATGATATACTTATAACGGTCGTCTATTGAACAGGAGGTCTTACTCTGTTATTACCGGGATCAACTGAGTCTGTCAACAATCGTCTATTAACATAAAGTCTCACTACTCTTCACCATTAGTTTTGTTTTTCGTTTGGATGAATCAGAATTAGAATACTTTATTATTCCCAAGAAAGTATAGACACTCTGGAGAAAATCAAAATAAACACACTTTTAGACATATAATCAGTATAGAATAAAGCACAAATAAATTAAAAAAAATACGGTTCGGTGAAAAAGGTAAAACGAGCCGTTCAGAGATCGTTTATAAAGAAGAGGCCTCACTCCTGTTCCTTGCACTTCAAGCACTGTGTCGCCTTTCCGCTGAAAAGTGCTATAAATAAATCTTACCTTTGGTTTGATGTTACAATAGCTGGAGGGTCTTCACGTATTAGTAATATTGCAGATGATTGATTTGTTCATTTTGTTTACAACATATTAAGAAAATTAACGTTTTAATCTTTCTGGTTGTAATTTTATTCTCTTTTATTTGGCTTAAAATGTTCTCTGCAAGCTGAAGTGTCTTTAGGTTCTGGATGTAAAGACAATGAGGTCTCACTCCTGTTTATCTGAAAACTGATACAAAGACCGTCTACTTACATAAGGACTCACTCAGAGATAATTAACAGCAGACATTTTAAAAAGTAAAAAACTTGTTTTTTCATTGCTTGTCCAAAATAAAGTTGTATAAATGCAGTAACACCAAGCAGCTGAAACTTCACTTTATACTTGATGAAAAGTGATCCAGTGTTATGACAATTATTGGAAATCGAAGTGTTTGACCATCAAAAACCAAATTTAAATCATTTTCAGATTTTAATGACTTCATGTTAAATACTTGGATGATTTTAATAAATATTTGACATCTGATCTGATTCAGAACAAATC